TCTGTACACCCGAGCAAAACGCCCCCAAGTCCCCCACCGGCACATTCGCCACGGACTCGTACAGCCCTGCTGCTGAGGCCCCTGCAGCGCAGCAGCAGCAGCAGCAGTGGCAGCAGCAGCAGTGGCAGCAGGGGCAGAGGGCGGAGGGGTCACTGGAGGATGGCTGGCTAGGTAGCTCGCTAGCTAGCTGGCTGGCTAGGTAACTCGCTGGCTAGCTGGCTGGCTGGCTAGCTAGCTGGGTATGTGGCTGGCTAGCTGGCCATCTGGCTAGCTAGCTAGCTAGCTAGCTAGCTGCCTGTCCGGAACACTAGCTACCTACCTAGCTACCTGGCAGGCTGGCTAGCTAGTCTTCTATCCATCTGTCTTTCTAGCTACCTGCCTGCTTATCCAGCTAGCCAGCTAGCTAGCCGGCTAGCCAGCTAACTAGCCAGCTCTCTAGCCAGCTAGCCAGCTAGCTAACTGGCTAGCTCGCCAGCCAGCTAGTCGGCAGGGTGCAAAGCTACCTAGCTAGCTATCCGGCTACCTAGCTAGCTATCCGGCTGTCTGGCTGGCTAGCTAGCTGGCTAGCTGGCTAGCTGGCTACCTAGCTGGCTATCTGGCTAGCTAGCTATCTGGCCAGCTAGCGACCTGGCTAGCAGGCTAGCAGGCTAGCTAGCCAGCTGGCTAGCTAGCTGGCTAGCCAGCTATCTGGCTAGCTACCGGCTAGCTAGCCATCTATCTGGCTAGTTAGCCAGCTATCTGGCTAGCTATTTAGCTAGCTAGCTAGCTAGCTAGCTAGCTACCTTGCAAGTCTTCGACGTTTGCTGAGGACCTGAGGCAGAGGCGCGCTTTGGGCCCGAAGAAGTTGAGGGCCTCCAGGCGGAAGCTTTCGGGCAGCGGCAGCTGCAGCAGCAGCTGCTGCAGCTGCTGACACACGGGGGTCACCGCCTCTGCCTGCAGCAGCAGCAGCAGCAGCAGCAGCAGCAGTCACCAGCGGCCTAGCCACGGCAGCAGCAGCAGCGACGGAGAGACTGCGGCAGCAAACGCTGCAGCTGCAGCCGCGAAAACGACGCCAGCACAACTGTCGCAGCAACAGCAGCACGACGCCATCACTACAGCAGCAGCAGCAGCAGCAGCAGCAGCACGAGCCACAACAGCACGTGCTACCACCACAAGCAGAGCAGCCGCAGCCGCAGCCACAGCCGAAACCGCAGCAGCAGCCACAGCAGCAGCACCAGCCACAGCAGCACCACCACAACCACAGCAACAGCAGCAGCAGCAGCAGCAGCAGCAGCAGCAGCGGACGTCTAGAGGCAGCTCGTCGAGGCGCTGCAGCAGCTGCTCGAATTCTTCCTTTCGGCCTTCTGCTTCGATCACCCACTCCATCGAGCCAAACGGCAAACACAAGCACCTGCACAGCAGCAGCAGCAGCAGCAGCAGCAGCAGAGTAAAACAAATAAATATATGAATGAATAACTAATTAGACGGAGGGTATAAAATTAGGGTTTTAAGTTGAATAAACAAATTTGATTCCAAAGAGTGATTCGAAAAGCAAAAGCAACATGGCTAAAAAAAGGGTTTTGGGTTCGGGGTTTAGGGTTTAGGGTTTGGGGCTAACCTGGGCGCTTTGAAGGGCGGTTCTTGCTGGATGTGCTGGCCATCTGCTGCTGCTGCTGCAGCAGCAGCTGCTGCTGCTGCTTCTAGCTGAGCACAAGTTGCTGCTTTCGCCCCACAAGCAGCAGCAGAAATGTTTTGGCCCTGCAGCAGCTGCGGAGGGTTTGGGCTGCTGCTGGGGTACAGCAGCGTTTGCTGCAGCGCCAAGGAGCAGCTTCTGCAGCAAACAACAATCTTTCTTTCATGTGCCATCTGCTGCTGCTGCTGCTGCTGTTGCTGCTGCTGCGGTTGCTGCTGCTGCTGTTGCTGCTGCTACTGCTGCTACTGCTGCTGCTGCTGCTGCTGGGCAGAGCCTTGGGTTTAGGGTTTGGTCTAGGGAGCCTCTGCTGCTGCTGCTGCTGCTGCTGCTGCTGGGTAGAGCCTAGGGTTTAGGGTTTGGCCTAGGGCCTTGCGTTGTGGGTCTCCAAACCCCTCAAGTGCGCGTTGTCTCTTTTGCTGCTGCTAGGGTTTAGCGTTTCGGACTTAGGGTTAGGGTTTAGGGTTTGGAATCTAGGGTTTAGGGTTTAGGGTTTAGGGTTTGACCTGGGGAGTTTGCGAGTGGGGTCGTCGGGCTCGTTGAGAGCGCAGTGGCTTTTCCACTGCTGCTGCAGCAGCAGCTGGAGTTCCTGCTGCTGCTCCAAAACCCTAAAAGAGACACTTTCTGCTGCAGCATCCAGCAGCAAATGTTTTCCTTCCAGAGCAGCAACAGCAGCAAAAGCTGCGCGCTCGCGGCAGGCAATAAACGGCAGCCGCTGCTGCCGCGCGCGCACTCCTGCAGCAAACAGCAAGCAGCAGCAGCAGCAGCAGGTCCTCCCGCAGCAGCAGCAGCAGCAGCAGCAAATGCTCTCGCAGCAGCAGCAGCAGCAAATGCTCCCGCTGCAGCAGCAAGGGAAGACACTGCAGCAGCAGTAGGAAACGCTGCAGCAGCAAAAGGAGACACTGCAGCAGCAAAAGCAGACACTGCAGCAGAAAAAGCAGACACTGCAGCAGCAAAAGCAGACACTGCAGCAGCAAAAGCAGACACGACAGCAGCAAAAGGAAATGCAGCAGCAGCAGTTTGAAAAAAAATTGAGAAAAGACAAAGGGAAACAAAAGAATCAAAAAGACAAAAGTAAAAAAATAAAGAATAAACTTAAAAAATGAAAAACAGCAAAAAGACCCAAACAGCAAATACGCCATTTCCTTTTTCAACCACTACCACTCACTGAACTAATTCCCATTTATTAGTATTTATTATTTATTTATTTATTTATTTATTATTTATTTATTATTTATCTATTCATTTATTTACCCAAATGACTCAAAATGGGCAAATCGTGGCCCACAAAAACGGCGACAGCGCATTTTGGGTTTTTGTCAATTCCGGCAATTTCTTCATCTCCAGAAGCTTCCTTGGCACAGATTATCAAAGGTTCGTAGCTGCTGCTGCTGCTGCTGCTGCTGTTGCTGCTGCTGCTGCTGCTGGTGTTGGTGGTGTTGGTGGTGTTGGTGGCGCTGCTGCTGTCGTTGCTGTTGCTGCGGGTGTCGTTGTCGCTGCTGCTGTTGCAGCCATTGCTGCTGCTGCTGCTGCTGCTGCTGCTGCTGGGCTGTTTGAGGAGCGCAGCAGCAGCAGCTTCGAGGGTGTCTGCGAGCAGCACTTTGCCGACGACTTGGCCAGGGACGAGGACGTCGAAGGGCTGCTGCGGCTGCTGCTGCTGCTGCTGCAGCTGCTGCCGCACGCTGCGCAGCAGCAGCTGCAGCAGCTTCGACAGCTGAAACACCACGTTGCTGCGCACCCGCGCCTCCGCGTACACCCCACACTTCTGGGGATCGAGTTTCAAAAGCGATCCCAGCTGTTCCACGCGGTGTACGTACACCGCAAGCAGCAAATCCGAAATCTCCTGACACAAACGCATGCAGCGTTCTGCTGTTGCTTTCAGCAGCAGCAAGTTCTCCTCCTCTTCCAGCTGCGCCTGCCCGTGGTGCTGCAGCTCCTGCACCCCACACCGCGCCGCAACAACCTAGGGTTTAGGGTTTAGGGTTTAGGGTTTGGGGTTTGGGGTTTGGGGCTGGGGCTTGGGGTTTAGGGTTTGGGGCGGCGCCGTGGCCTCCAAAGACGCTTCCCACGAGAAAGCGCAGCTAAACTCAAGGCCTAGGTTTCACAGCCAGGGTTTAGGGTTTAGGGTTTAGGGTTTAGGGTTTGTACCCGCTGGAGGGCCCGGCACTCCTCCTGCCGCACCCCAGAGATCTCTATGTTGCGAATGCCCAAGCACACAGCCTGCAGCCAACCCCAAACAGCAGCAGCAGCAGCAGCAGCAGCAGCAAGGGTAGACTTGGCAGGACAGCAGGGTTGGAATGGGCAGCAGCAGCATCGGCAGCAGCAGCAGCTGCTGCTGCTGCTGCTGGGTCGGACATGAAGTGGAACGGAACGAATTGGCTTCAAATGGCCTTCTTGCATGCAAGTCTGCTGCAGCAAACGAAAAGCAATTTAAACTTAAATTTGAATTTAAATTAAATTAGATTAAATTAAATTAAATTAAATTACTTCAATTGCATCAGTCCATCTGAAGTCCGAGAAATTGTCCTGCAGCAAATTGGCCAATCGGCTCAGCAGCACAAATGCTGCGTCTTCCAGCTGCAGCTCCGCCATGCGCCTGAGCAGCAGCAGCAGCAGCAGCAGCAGCAAAACATATGCAACTGCAGCAGCAACACTTCTGCTGCTGCTCCTGCTGCTGCTGCTACTGCTTCCTGCTGCTGCTGCTACTGCGTGCTACTACTGCCAGCTACTCCTGCCAGCTGCTGCCCGCTGCTACTACCTCCTACTGCGTGCTGCTGCTGCTGCTGCTGCTGCTGCTACAACTACTCCCAGCTGTTCCTCCCCGCAGCTCCTGCCAGCCGCCACTGCGTGCCGCCCCTCCCTGCTGCTGCTCGCCGCCCCCTCCCCCCCGCTGCTGCTGCTGCTGCTGCTGCTGCTGCTGCTTCTGCTGCAGCAGCGTACTTGTTTTGCGTGCGTGCTGCGTCTTCGTCGTGGAAGAGTCCTGCTGCAGCAAGTTGGCGGGCGAGGACTGCGCGGAGGTCAGCAGCAAGGGCGAGGGTGAGCAGCAGCTTGGCGGGAGAAGCAGCAGCAGCATCGCTTCTTGCTTTTGCTGCTAAGTAGCTTTCAATTGCTGCTGCTGTTCTCGGAGACTCTGCTGCTCCCAACTCCCGCAGCCTCGCGCCCAAGTCCGTCTGGTTGAAGAAGGCGCAGAGCTCTTCAAAGAAGAGCTCCAGCTCGCGCACAAACTCCCCGGAAAACTGCTGCTGCTGCTGCTGCTGCTGCT